CATGTAATTAATTAGGCTTTGACAAATACGTAAATATAGAAAATACTTAAGAACTACTTAAAATTATATTAAATCTACTTAAAAATTATTATAAGTATGTTATTAGTTTCGGCTTTTGGATTGAGCCCTTTTCAGACATCGAAATATCACAGTCGATATACATATAAATCATTGAAACGATAAAAATGAACATTTTGATATTGACCTCTCGATTTTCCATATAGAACATGACATTTATTTGGTATACTATTAAAAAATCGTATGCAAACCAATAACTCTGTAAATTTGAAGTAAAACATTGATAAGAATCTATTAGTGAAAAAACTCTGTCGTAAATGAAATGCTCAAAACTCACCAACAAAGTCATGTACAAATTAAAAATAAACAATCGGTTCATTGGCTTAGACACAGAAATTGCAATTAAAATATGAAAATATGTCACAAATAAGTTATAAATTAAAACAGAATACATATTATACAGAAAACTCGTAATCTTTGACAAAAAACATTATGTGTATTATACAAAAGAAAATATCTTAATACTGTGACAGATCACCACAGACTGAGCGAGATGATAAATTGTCGGTATTGAAAGATCAAACTTTATTTACAATAGAAATATCCTTAAAAAAATCATATAAAAATGAAAAGGTCAAGCCATGTTCAAAAAGAGATCCTCAAAAATTTAGACCTTTTTATCTAATAATAAATTATATGATAGCCATCCAATTCTTTTATGCAATTGCATATTCTTTTACACAGCAGATTGGAAAGTAAAACTAAAATAGAAATGTAGTATCAGTGCGCTCCTCGCTCTGATAATGTAAACGGACAAGATTCACGAAATGTTGGCATTAACAATAAATAAAAATAAGGTCATAATCCGCAAACTCTTTAATACTTTTCCTAAGTTGTACTTCCGAAAACCAACTATCTCCAATTTTGATAAAACTATGTAGAAATTTTTATTTTGGGTTAAAATAAAAGTCCTTAAAGAGATTTTTTGCTGCTACTCCTATGAAAAAGCTGTTTTTTAGAATAAAATAGTACTTAAAGTGCATATATCCTTATGCGCGCCATGCCTATCGGATTGTTATTCTGTGAGGAACGATTTCACTTCTTTTTTATGGCATTATCTTTGGTTTTTTTCACAAAATATAGCTTTTTTACATTTTTTATTTGTATATACATTAAGTTAATGTTTAAGTAGCATGCTCCAATAATGCGTACGACCGTGTGGTGTACGATGATTGACTTAAGAAGAAAAGATCTCAGAAGAAGCATAAAGGGGAGGACGGTCGAGACCGTTCAGATACATGCGTCAGCGAAATATTCCTTTTCCTTGTATTTGATTTATTTTGATTAGGATAAAGGCAATTATTCAGTACTTGGTAGTTCTGAGTAAAAGGGGTAGAGACAATATTAGTATTGTTATGCGTAATTTGAAACGCAACTCCTTAAAATTGCGTTACTGACTTCTTATAAAAACTACTCTTTTTGAAGATATTTACATATCTTTACAATTTATCCTTAAGGTTTTGAAACTCCTTATTTATTTATATACCTTACGTTTAATATTTTGTTAATACAATTTTGTTAATTTTTTCGAAAAACATAAATTAATTGTTATTTATTTATTAATACAATATATTAATCATATAATAATAAGTACTAAAACTTTTACAATAAATATAAAAATAGAAAATTATTTGTCTGTTTTTCAGTGTGTGGCAATGGAAATACATCCTATGTACTTAATGATACCAGCCACCCTGATGTGTTCGTTTTCATTTCGCTTACCGGTTGGCACACCACCAAATGCAATTATAACAATCGCAGGACACATTCCTACAAGTTGGTTGATTGCTGGAGGCTGTGCACCCGCGATTTACAGTTTGATAGTAGAAGTTATTTTCTTTCCTACATGGGGAGTTTTCGTTTATGGAATTAAAGATTTTCCTGCTTGGGCGAGATATGTCCAAGTGGAAAACAACACAAATGTACTTCATTAATTAATTGAAAGCAATAACTTTAAGTTATAAAAAAAATTAAATTCCAGTTTTTTATCTAGTTTTTCTTTTTACGAGTCACTATTACATTGGAATACAAAAAATGAATATTTTTAGTGTTTATACTTAAACTATATTATTTCTCTTATGCATTATGTTACATTAAGGAAGTACATTAATGTATTAAGAAGTATACTACTATACTTAGCAAATATATATACAAGGATAATATTGTAAAATATAGTATGATATTCTTCCGAGATAAAATTTAATACGGGGTTTAAACAAAATAAATATATAAAGCAAATTTTTATATCTAAATACATATTATAATCCATAAACATAAAATGATTTTTAATAAGGATGAAAATATGATGTTATTAAATTAAACTGCTCTTTTAAATAAAAAGCGACATGCTATAATACAATGCTCTCCAATTGTATGTACATACGTATACTATTAGACTTTAAATTGAAATGCGTGTTTATGTCTATTACCCTTTCTACTTCTCTCTTCATATATGTTTTGAAATAAAAACTATCGTTATACATTCAAATTCTTGGAAACTTAATTTTTAGGATTAGTAGAGAAAATTGAGAAGAGGACATGTGGAAGGACACTTAAATTCTTTCTCGCAGGTATAATAATAATAATAATAATAATAATAATAATAATAATATTCTCGAGACGCGGCTTCCTTCCAGAAGCCCATTTCCGGAAGCCACGACACACAGACGAGGTCCATTATGTATTCCCGGTTGAATTAACTCCTGGTCAGTTCAGACCTGTTTCTTTTCAGAGATAGAGAAGGTTCCTGACCTGGAGTTGACATACCTGTTCAGGCTTGAGAAATTCTGAGCCAACTATGAATAGTCTACTTCCAACGTAAGCTGAACACTCACACAGCACATGAAGAGTGGTTTTTTCGCCATACTTGTACTTCCTGCATTTTGGGGTATTATTATAGTGCACCAGCTTATGCATGTGGTAGTTGGTAAAGCTATGTCCCGTATAGATCTGTACTGCCAGTCTAACTTCTCTTCTTCTTAAGGTCTTAATACTCTTGGCAAGGTTCTCGCAAGGTGCTTCTCCCATCGAGACCCTCATCTGTCAACATTTGATCCTTGCCTCTTCCTTCCAGAAATTGATGTGGCGTTCCCGCAACCAGCTCCTTATCATAGCCCTGTGCTGGGTATTCCAAGGGCCGGTTCCTATTTCCAATTGGAATACAATAATGAACTCTCAGAGTGGGAGGGCCTCCCTGACTCCTCTGCGCAGATTCCAACACCGGCGCCCGCATCAGTTCTGGAGCCATCCGTGTACTATATGCCCCATTTCCGATAGCGGGCACCTCTTGCCTCTTCCATTCATCGCGACTGGAGAAATAGATTCTAAAGGATCTATTAAAGTCGTGCTTTATTGGCATCCTGTCTTGCTTCATTTCAAACACTGTTTTCTTCTGGAGTTCATGAATTGTGAGTAATACAATTCTGTAATAATTGTGCTTCTCCAAAGTATAATTCTAATCTTAATTTCAATTCTGAAAAATTTAAGCTTCCTAAATTTTGTACGATTTCTACCGTAAGCTTTCCCTCTCAAACATGGAAACAGCGGTTTTTATTTTCACTTCCTAGCGGTTTACACAAGCGATTAAATCAAATCGAGCAAAGAATTCTCGCAGAAGGATATTTCCGACAAACGTATCCGGTTTCAAGTTAATATTCATCTCTCAACGAAGCGAAACAAACGATTCAACGCGTTCACACGCATTTGTAACATTTTACCGCTTGATGAAGATCGCGAATTATGCGCTCGCAATAAAATTTTTTTCAGAAATGAAAGACATATTACGTAATAAACGAACACTCTTTAATAATTACAAATTATAACGGTGAAAATAGACGCATTCGCGCGCGATGATAATCCAGCGAAAACTCGCGTACTCGTATGTTTTAGACAACAGCCGCAGATCTCCAAGAAAAGTCGCTCGTCCTGAAAGTCGCTTGTCCTCTTTTTCGACACGGCATGGTTGAAACAATATAAAGCCAAAAATAATAAGAATTTTTAATAGTTCATGGCGTAATCACAGTTTTATTTCGGTTATGTAATTTTATCTACAGAATAAAATTTCTTAAAAATAATTGAAAAGCAAACTTTCAAGATATGTATTTTATTCAAAATTTGTAATTTTTAGAAAACGAGAAAAACAGAAACTACACACACAAGAAAACTATGCACTTTACAAAAAATAACAATATGTCAATCAATAAGATATGATGACATATGACGTATTAAACAAAATTGCTGTGAACAGTTACTAAAAATGTTAAATAAATATATTTTGTTTGTCTCTAATTTAAAAAAAATAATTCACTTTAAAATGTTTATATTTTTCCAATATATAAATTGACGATAAAAAAATGCTGTCTGAACATCTCAAAGTAGCTTATATTATGAGTCTTTTAACACTGAACACAACGCTATCTCTAACTAAAAAAATAAAATTTTGGACAAAACGCATTTTGAAAATCTGCTTAATTAATATAATTATAAAATATGAAGATTATTATATATTGGATACTATTCGATTTTTGTTACTTTAAGATATATGTCGCTGGGTTGTTGAACAAGTATTGCAGAAATATATTTCAATCTTTTTGGGGTTTTTTCACAAATATTGAATTTATAATTTCGTAAAAAAGTGATGAGTCCCATTTTGAGTTGTAACATGCCAAATCGTTCACCTGTAAAACGTTATTAATAAAAGTGACAAAATAATGGGGGCTCCACTACTGTTAAAAATAAACTAATCCAACCCATTTAGTGGTGTGAGGTATCTCTCGCTTCGTGTAGAAAGTCGAAATCCATGTACAACAGTACAGCTATGTGACTTTCTATACGAACATACTTCTATTCTATGGTTGTACTATTGCGCATGAATTTCGACTTTCTACGCGAAGCGACAGCTACCATATATGATACCACTAAATTAGGTTATTTTTAACGGTAGTGGAGCCTACTGTATTGTCCTCTGTATTCACAAACCTACTGTATTCACGCGTACACTTTACAATATATAAAGCGACATGGAAGTTGCAAGTTCATTCGCAAAAGAAGAGGTGGAGTAAGAGTTGCTTCGCATGAATGCAGTAGATTTCATTACTGTTAAAATTAACTTCAACGCTTAATATCTCAAAAATTATAAGAGTCTGCCACCTAGTTGTTAAGGCAAAGTTGCTCAGAATCATGACCTTGACAATATATGTCAAGGTCAAGGTCATCGGAGCTGGGTCCCCTAAAGTGAACATTTACCAAAATTATTCCTAATATCATGTGATTTTTCAAATTACCTGATTTAAAAATATTACGTACTGATTTGTAACAATTTGTTATGTAATATATTTGTTTTAATTACAAGGTTTCGTTATGAAGCTAATTTGTTATTGTTTTTAACTTTTGTTTTTTTTTTATTCCTGTACTTTAATTGGATGACGGAGACTAACTAAAGTCAAAACGTTTCACATTGTATGCTTGGAAGTACTAATTTTTAATTTATTTGTTTTGTCATCTTATATATAATAAGCTAGTTCCATAATTTGATTTAATATTTGTTTATGTAATGAACTTTTTACCTTTTTATTGTTTTAAAATGTACTTTTGTGTGTGTGTGTGCGTGCGTGCGCGCGCAAACGTATTATCAAGGATAAAAAGACAAATTTTTATGTATAATATAAAATGATTTTTTTATACACATAATTGTAATATGCATAAATAATAAACGCGATCAAATATGATATACAGTCCGAAATGAGAAATCATACCATTTTAAAAAATGAAACTGTGTATATTATTTTTGAACAAATACAAAACATTAATTTTAGCAAGAAATACTGTTTTGTATATTCATTAGATTAAAACAAATTAAAATAAGATTTTCTTTTAAAAAAGTTGATTAGTTTTACTGAATCAAAAATAATTTAAAAGAAGCAATAATTAAAGGGTTAAAGAAATATGTAAATGTATTTTACAATCGGTAAAAATTCGAAACTCAGAAATTACTGGCAAAAGATAAAATTTTTTACGGAAGTATTGAAATTTCGCTAAGTATGTTTCAAGGGATAATGTATTCGCTGATTGGAGTTTTAGTATATTTTTTTATCTAATAATAATAATATCTACAATTCTGTCAAATAATCGTCATAATTTACAATGTATTGTCAATATGAAATTATTGTTTTTTATTACGTACCAATGCAATTTCTTGGGCCATATCCAAAAGGCATGTAATGCATTGATTGTTTGGATCGAGCAGCAGCATCACCGATGAATCTCTCAGGATCATAAATTTCAGGTTTAGGATATATATCTGGATCAAAATGAATAGCATGGACAGGAATACCGACTATTTGACCTTTTGGAATAGTTAGTTGAGAATTTTTAAAAGTGTAAGCTGATGAAGCCTGCCTCGTAAGTAGGTCAACTAATGGATACTTTCGCATCGTTTCTGTAAATAATTTGTTCCATATAAATGTCCAATAATTATAATAATAACTAAATGCATCTTAATTTCTTGAAATTATTAGATTTGTTATGCAAGGTATATATATAAAATAGTTAAAATTTACAGTTAACTAAAAAAAGCAAAAATGCATTCATCTAAAAAAACTTATAATTTGTTAAATCTTTAACGTTTTCAATGAAAAAGACATAATAAGAAATTACCAAAGTAGAAATGAGTCTAGCTAGCAGACTTGAGTCAAGACCTAGTCACTAGATAGTATCGATTAGATAAGTTCTCTATTTAGTCACTGGATAGTTACCAGCTGCATATTTTTACTATAAAAAAATCTGTCTACTGACTATATAGTAATTAAAACGTAAAGCAGACATTAAATTTCTTATTTAAATAAACTTACAATTAGTGAGGAACGGCTGAATGATGATTAAAAATCAAGAATATAATAAAGAAGTACGAGTCAAACATTTGCATACATATATTATACGACCTAAATTAAACAATAAACTAAACAGATGTTTTAATCTAGTGACGTGGTCATTATCAATTTTAATATCATATTTGGAGTGAACTTCCGAAAACATCCTGCGCCCGATTGTCACGAATTTTAGCAGAAATATTCTAAATGATGTCAAATCAATGTCTTTAAAAGGATTTTTTACCGACAAACAAGTTTAATGTCAAAAATGTTTAAATAAAATTATAAAAGTTCAAGGGCGTGCGACTCCCACGCGAAGCGACTTTCACTTCACCTTCCCTCCTTGCTAGACTATGTTTAGATTCTCACTCGAGTGCCACCCAAATATCACTTTATCGTTTACCGAACATTAAATAAGAATAACATATCCAGAGAACATCCAGATGGGAATTTGAACACACTCCTAAGGGGGAGTACGATTTTCGCGCGTATAATGACTTATTCTAAAGAAGTATAATATTAAATATATTTACTTGAATATAAAGTATATAACTTCATTTAAACGTTTTTGATATTAAACATCTTTATTGGTGAAAATCCATTTAAGGGCATTTATTTGACGTCATATAAAGTATTTCTGTCAAAATTCATAAAAATCAGACGTTAGTTTTCAGAAATTTATCCTATATTTGAAATCGTGAAACCTTAAGGATGCTGGAAGTTCTGTTTTATCGATAAAGTTTGATTAATTTTCCATGAGTCATTACTCTTAATTGCATTTACGGATTATTAAAAGTCCTTTTCCACAATTAAAGTATCGACAACAATGCAAACTGACAACTACAATTTAATATAAAAAACGAAAGAAAATTGAATACCTACAGTTTTCTCATCGACTTCTGCAGTCGACTCGTCACAATATGTGCTGCATATAATAAGAATTTCAAATCTTGCACGTTTAAAATAAGTAGCTATCAGTAAAACTTCAAAAAACAATACTATGCTTGTAGAGCTAGAAGCTTTGGAAGAGAATAAAGTCATGGAAAATTTCGTTTGTATACTACGAGTGAACCATGAAACCGAGCAGAAATTATGTCTAACAATAGGTACTCGATGAATGCGCTTGAGTGAAATACAACGATATAAAAACAAACGATACAATGTAATATAAAAAATGACTGAAAGATGTCACTATTATTAAATTCGGAATTAAGAAAGTATATGTACTATCGACCTCGATCAAGTTGGGCAGTCAGATCAGCATCCCCTTAAAAATGCATAAATAATAATAATAACTTTATTGTGTTAACATTAAAAAGATAAGAATACAGTAATATTGATATCACATATCAGTTACACGACAATAGGCTGGGCAACAGCTAAAAGCAGCTGATTTAAAGCCGTACCTGAATATTAGAATAAGTGATTTACAGAAATTAAAATTAGATTCAAGACAGTTAATATTATAAATACATAAAAACATAAACTAATGTATATAGAACAATAGAGACAAAAGGTATAACATACGCTACTCGTACAGAACAATAAGAAATAAATTATACATAGTTCCTCCGATATTAAAACTTTGAAACAATCGAGTAATCTCCGACCGAAATACAGGAGGTCGTGGTAAAGAGCGTAAAGCAGATGACAAAACATTATAAAATTTCACTGCATTGTAAGAGAAGGCACTCTGAAATTTAGATGCGTGATGAGTAGGACATGAAAGTTGATATTGACTGACGAGTATTAGATAGAGTACTTGAGTGAGAGTCAACGTTGAAATGGATTAGCTTATTACGAAGATATTTAGGAGTATTAGTACGAAGAACATTATGAATCAAGCAATATAAATGAACTATAAAGCGTTGGAAAATATTCAGCCAACGAGAGCGTTGAAAACAAGAAGTAATATGATCGTATTTTCTAACACCATAGAAAAAACGAAGACAGGAATTTTGAATTAATTGTATCTTATGAAAATGATATTGTTTTATAGCGAATTCGACAGACTGCACTAGTGCGCACTGAGTGCGAACTTTTTTGGTGCCACGCATTCGAATTGTGTGCACCGTATCAGTGCGTTTAGATTGTCGTATTCGGCAAATGAAAACTGACCTAGTGTAATGCTGAATTTATATTCGGACCAACCGAATAAATCAAACGAGTGTAAAAAATATTGCACTGACATTAATATTTCAGATGGATTGTTTTGAAACTCTGATAGTAACGACACGCAATTATAATTCTGAAATAAATTTATTTAAAAGAATATGCATGAGTACATATGTGTATTAGTTCAATTTTTAACTTTGACGCTTATTAAATTTATTTGCGCTTCTTGAATTTAATTGATATACTCATATAAACAGTCTTGTTTCCAATCGTAGGAAAATTGAATTTATATTCCTCTAAGGTTTATTTTACATCAATTATTAAAAAAGTAATTATAATGAATAAATTACCTTTAGAGACTGCATCCAAATAGAACATCATATTTATATCGTCAAATGTTATTTCTCCATTATTTTTTATGTATATATTATTTATTTCTTCGCGAAGTCTGTTTTGAATAGTATGATTTAAAGCTAATTCATATAATGTGTTAGACATTGTTACAGCAGACGTGTCAAATGCAGCCAAGAAGAACATAAATACTTGCGTAACAAAATGTTGATCCAACATTTCTGCAAAGAAGAAATCCCCCCCGATGATCTTGACCTTGACATATGTTGTCAAGGTCATGACCCTGAGTAACCTCCCGCAGGTTTTAGGTGGCGGTCACTGTCCGTTAAAAAGTTATTAACAAAAAAAGTTTCAAAATTAACGTATAATTTCTGCCATATATGTATTATAACAAGTACTATTTTACATCTCCTTCTGTTTAGAAACGTTAAACTTTCCACGCGAAGTAACTCTCACCTCCCCCAACCCCCTGCGAAGGGGCACACGACTTCTACGATTATACTGTTGCTATGATTGTACCGTCGGGGCAGACCTCTGTCGACGGTGTGGGTGCGGGGGGGTGGCCGAAGGCCACCCCCTTGCACCCATCCGTGTGTGTGTGTGTAAATAATGAAATTATAAATAAAAATCGCATTATCTATAAAGGCAAATTCAATTTAACCAATTGTCTTAAAATAATAGTGCGTAGTATTGTTGATATATCATCTGTTTAAGTATGCTCACAAAAAAAGAAGAAATTACAGATTGTTTATGTTAATATATTCTATGTGAGTGGTCCCCATTTCCTTTCAATTCATCAATAGAATTGTCACTTTGTGTTAAGGATGATCAATATATCAATATTTACTGTACGAAATTATTAATGCCAACGTTTCATGAATCTTGCCGATCACTTTATCAGGACGAGGAGCGCAATATTATATTGTATAGTAGCTTCACGAAATATTGGCATAAGCAATGGATAAAATCACAGTAATAAACTATCTGATATCTTTGAAGAAAATATCCGTAAAAGCCAATAATTTTATTGATAAGTGTATTAAGCCACTTATGAAAATCACGAACAAAAACACGATTAGTCTTCATAGCATGTTTTGAAATAGATTTTTATTGACTTTTTAAAGCAAAAATTTGGTATTTTACAATTTTTACCATCTCTTTATAAAACACTATTGCATACCTTGATTACTGTGAAATAAATTTTAAATTTTTAACAAAAATGTAAAAAGCTTTTACGTACCTGCTTTTTCAGTCGATTTTCCGTTTTTGAATTCCTTAAGTATATTAACAACATCATATTTGGAAATATTATGTTTTCTTCTGTCATTTACAATATCCATAGCGAAGCGGATACAAAACTGCATCAATTCAGCATCAAACAAATAATAACTGATTAAATCATATAATTTGTTGTATATTACTTTATCTGGTAGCAATCGTTTGAATATACATTTCCATGAATCTCCTTTATTAAACTTTTTCACATATTTAAAAATTTCAATCTTTTTATCTCGAAAAGTCTTGACATCATAATTAAGTAAACAGACACCAGAGTAGTCGGCGGTCAGTTTTCCTGTCAATTCGCTACAATTTATATATTTATTTTTCAATAATAGCGAATTGTCCAACCAATTTTTAAAGGCTTCCGAGCGTTGTATTAATAAAGATAGCATAATTTTAAGTTTACTAGGTGTGAAAAGTGGTGATAGTTTTGCTCGTAAATGTAATGCTTCTTCTCCTTTTGCATAAAAAAGTGTGTCCATTAACGGTTCAGCCTGTATATAAATATTAGTAAAAATGATAATTACGAATAATAGTCATGAAGTGTGTTAAGTTAGCACCCCAAATATAGTACTCAGGAGTTCTGATTAGAGTTCCCTATGACTTTTGACGAGACGAAGAGTTCCCTATAGTTAATAACAAGAGTTCCGCTTAATAAACATTAAAAAAAATTTTTTTTAAATGAGGTGCTAACTTTTTATCGAATTTCGAGGTGGAATAGTTCCGAGCGGCTTAACAGCTTCAATTCACGATTGCCTAGAGTTCCTGATATGTAAAAAAAATTTCGAGTATTAAAAAAAAAATTAAAAATTTTTGAAAAATTAATTTTTAGATACAATAGTTCTGATAATTCTTGCTTTTTTTTGACGATACGAAAAGTTCTCTATGATTTTTAATGACATATGCGCTTAATAATCATTTTTTAATAATAAATATTAAATATTTCTCCTGTTACATATATTTATTATAAAATAAGCAAATCGTCTCGTTAGTTTCATGTCATCGTTATTCCTTGTATCTCTTTTCCCTGTATCTTTTCCTTGTATCTCTCCCCTGCTCTCTGTCAAAGAATGCACGATTTTCTACACGAAAAGCGTGAAATAATATGAAAAAAATTGTTTTTTAAATATTTGATCTTGAAAATGACCCTGTCGGTAATTTTCATAATCATATTCGTAATTAGGGCATCAAAATACAGTAGTATACCAATCGAGAAAAAAATCGGGGAGTTTACCTTTTCAGAAGTGCGTATAATATTTCTTATAATAATAAAAATATTCTTTTTGCTAAACGTTTAATTGCACACAAACTTTAATTGTATATCATAAAAAATAAAAAATAGTAATTCTCAGGTGAAAAAATAAGAAATAATTACTTTATTTACCTTTTTAGAGTAAGAAACACCACGTCCTGTAAATATCATACCATCTGTGATTAGAACATCTTTGATCAAAGCAGGATCTTTTATTATTAAAATTGGTATTGTTTTAATGAAGAGACCCACTAGTGACGCATGTTTATATTCATCATATATCTCCTTATAATATTGTACAGGTAATTTTTTTTGTAATATAATATCTTTTGCCGTGCCGAAATATATTGTAGGTTTTGGTCCTGGTATGCCATGCTTTTTCCAGAAATCAAATTTCAATTTGTAATAATAATAAAAGGCAAAAACAAGAACGATAACTCCAGATAAAATTTCCAAAATTTCTCTCATTTTTATTTAATATCTATAAAAGAATTCTCATAATTAAAAATATATATATATATATATATTATATAGGTCTGTGTCTGAACTAGTGTACA